TTTGACTGGAGGACGCGCATGTTGGAGAGAACGTGGACACTCCTATAGGTCAATTTCTTCTTATAGGAAACTTCCGCCGCCGGCTTGCCCGGGAACTACTTGTAACTTATTTACAAGTTAGTTAAACATATCTAATTTATCAAAGGAAGTTTAGAAGGAACTTCCGTGTTACGAACATTTACATCACTCATCATACACCACTCATCACCACTCGTCAAACCGCCACTCATCATACACCACTCATCAGATTTCGTGGCAGGTGCAGCAATTTGTGAACCTCCATGCGCAGATTTCGTGGCAGGTGCAATACAAAATGCGTTTTCGAGAGATAGCGGACGCACGAAATGCTGTATTTTTCAATAGAACCGGCGGCTTCGAACCTGGCAAGTCTAGCTCTGCGGAACGACTGTTGCGAGATGGTCTCGGGTCATGCTCGGTCGGCCGTCCATTGTGATTAGGTTTTCACTTGTCTCTTGAAGTGCAGATTTCGTGGCAAGCGCAGCACTTTGTGAACCTCCATGCGCAGATTTCGTGGCAGGCACAGCACTTTGTGAACCTCCATGTGCAGATGTCGTGGCAGGTGCAGCACTTTGTGAACGTCCAGGTGCAGATTTCGTGGCAGGCACAGCACTTTGTGAACCTCCAGGTGCAGATGTCATGTCAGGCACAGCGCTCTGTGAACCTCCAGGTGCAGATTTCGTGGCAGGCACAGTACTTTGTGAACCTCCAGGTGCAGATTTCATGTCAGGCACAGCACTTTGTGAACCTCCATGTGCAGATTTCGTGGCAGGCACAGTACTTTGTGAGCCTCCATGTGCAGATTTCGTGGCAGGTGCAGCACTTTGTGAACCTCCAGGCGCAGATTTCGTGGCAGGCACAGCACTTTGTGAACCTCCATGTGCAGATTTCGTAGCAGGCACAGCACTTTGTGAGCCTCCATGTGCAGATTTCGTGGCAGGTGCAGCACTTTGTGAACCTCCATGTATAGAGTTCGTGGCAGGCGCAGCACTTTGTGAACCTCCATGCGCAGATTTCGTGGCAGGTGCAGCACTTTGTGAACCTCCATGCGCAGATTTCGTGGCAGGCACAGCACTTTGTGAACCTCCAGGTGCAGATTTCGTGGCAGGCGCAGCACTTTGTGAACCTCCATGCGCAGATTTCGTGGCCGGCGCAGCATCTGGGGAGCTGGAAGCTGAGAACTGGCGGCTCTTGTAGTACAACTTTAGTACGCGGAGCAATTTGTGAGCTGGAAGCTGAGAACTGGCGACTTTGTAGTGCAACTTTAGTACGCGGAGCAATTTGTGAGCTGGAAGCTGAGAACTGGCAACTTTCTAGTACAACTTTAGTATGCGGAGCAATCTGTAGAGCTGGAAGCTGAGAACTGGCGACTTTGTAGTACAACTTTAGTACGCGGAGTATCTGGCGAGCTGGACGATGAGAACTGGCGACTTTGTCGTCCAACTTTAGTACGCGGAGTATCTGTGGAGCTGGAAGCTGAGAACTGGCGACTTTCTAGTACAACTTTAGTACGCGGAGCAATCTGTGCAGCTAGAAGCTGAGAACTGGCGACTTTCTAGTACAACTTTAGTACGCGGAGTATCTGCGGAGCTGGAAGCTGAGAACTGGCGACTTTCTAGTACAACTTTAGTACGCGGAGCAATCTGTAGAGCTGGAAGCTGAGAACTGGCGACTTTCTAGTACAACTCTAGTACGCGGAGCAATCTGTAGAGCTGGAAGCTGAGAACTGGCGACTTTCTAGTACAACGTTAGTACGCGGAGCAATCTGTAGAGCTGGAAGCTGAGAACTGGCAACTTTCTAGTACAACTTTAGTACGCGGAGTATCTGGCGAGCTGGACGATGAGAACTGGCGACTTTGTAGTACAACTTTAGTACGCGGAGTATCTGTGCAGCTAGAAGCTGAGAACTGGCGACTTTCTAGTACAACTTTAGTACGCGGAGCAATCTGTAGAGCTGGAAGCTGAGAACTGGCGACTTTCTAGTACAACTTTAGTGCGCGGAGCAATCTGTAGAGCTGGAAGCTGAGAACTGGCGACTGTGTAGTACAACTTTAGTACGCGGAGCAATCTGTAGAGCTGGAAGCTGAGAACTGGCGACTGTCTAGTGCAACTTTAGTACGCGGAGCAATCTGTAGAGCTGGAAGCTGAGAACTGGCGACTTTCAAGTACAACTTTAGTACGCGGAGCAATCTGTAGAGCTGGAAGCTGAGAACTGGCGACTGTGTAGTACAACTTTAGTACGCGGAGCAATCTGTAGAGCTGGAAGCTGAGAACTGGCGACTTTGTAGTACAACTTTAGTATGCGGAGCAATCTGTAGAGCTGGAAGCTGAGAACTGGCGACTTT